TGCAAAAATATTCGTATAATCACACGAAAGGTGTGAATAATGTAGAAGGGAGGTTGTAGGGGTAGCAAATACCTCCCAAGGCGAGGGTGACCCGAGAAATATTTTAAAAATTTAATGCAAAATTTCAGGACGTTACATTTACCAAATTATATGTCAACGATATCGAAAGTGCGTTTTTTAAGAAGAAAAGGATATTTTGTTAGTAGTAAAAGAAAACATGTCCTTATTTCCATCTCTACTAATTCTTTCAATTTAATTCATTGGGAACACCTCCAACTCTGCCTTCGAAGCTTGAGGAGCGATCCCCTGATACGACAGGTGTGAGGAGTGTTCTCCAAAAGACTGCCGCTGATTGAGGAAGGAATCAATCCCTCGAAGTACTCCTTTGAATTGGAAAATCTAGTGAAGTCGTGAAAACTTCCAGAATGTTTTTAGGGCAGATTGGTCAACTCGAAAAGAATCTAGAAGTAGAAAGAGATCTACGAGAAGTATTTTAAAACTCAAGAGAAGTAGCAAACATAGATCTAGGGCCGAACAGTATCGATAGGATCAATCACGTGAGGTCCCATAAACTGGCAAAGTTGCGTATTTTTGTGCTTAACGTAGTGCCGTTTTGAAACTGAAAAAATTCCGACTACTTTCGGAGATACCTATCCTGAAAAAAAAACGGAATTTTGCAAAATCGTTTTTATATTTTACTGAAGGTATTTAAAAAGTTATCTCGAAATAAATGACACATTATTTTGTCCACTTTTTTCCCTCTATAAGATGCTATTTTTAAATTTTAAGTTTGACGTTTCGTCTCCAATCAACCATCATCAAACTTTACTTTTCCTTATGGAAGTAATTTTTACTTTTTGAGTCATTTGATAAACATTTTTTTCTGATTTCAAAAATGTAAGATCCCTTTGAAAAACCCGGGACAACAAGTGGGGACACTGCTGCGGCTCTTTTATATATAAAGTTGCGACTATCCGCATTTATCTAAAAAAAAACTAGTTCATCTTTTTCGAAATTCATCTTTTTAATTAATTTGTGACTTGTTTACTTTCTGATATTCTTTTGTTTTTCATTGTCACAGACTACTTCGGTGTATAAACATGTAATTAATTAATACGTAGGTACTTTTGTGAAAAATATTGAATTACCTAAAAACTACCGAATTTAAGGGTCCGTTAACTTGGCCCCCCCCCCCCCACTGAGAGATTTCATAGTCGTATTATTTTGAAATGAATGCGCTCGTTATGCGCTCATATGCGCCACCGATAATAACTCTTGCGCCATTATCGTTTTTTAGAAATCCGAAAAACATTTGGGGGGGGCCAAGTGAACGTAGCCCCCCCCCGTACGTATTTTGTCCCTTGTAACTAAGTCACCTGATACATTTGGTTATGCGCTCAATTGCGCCACTTGAATTAAAGCTAGCGCCATTACGGTTAAGCCGTGACAAATTTTCAAAAAGTGGGGGGGGCCAACTTAACGTTTTTAAAAGTTACGTTTTTTAACATGTTTTTTCTACTACATCGTACCTTTCATCATGCGCTAAAATGCGCCGTAAACAAAAATCTTGGCGCCATTATAGTGTTTCAGAAACACTCTACAGGGTGTTTTTTTGGGAGCTTTAGTTAAACGATTCTGAGAAAGTAAAATAGGTAGGTTTTTAAAAATTTGTATTTAGGAGTTACTCCGAAGGCCGAATCGATGTAAAATATTTTCAAAATGGACGCACTTCCGGAAATAACTTTTGAAAATGCTAAGTTAGACCCTCCACTTTTTAAAAATTTTTTATGGCTTAACCGTAATGGCGCTAGCTTTAATTCAAGTGGCGCAATTGAGCTCATAACCAGATGTATCAAGTGGCACAAATACCGGTAGCAAAATGCGTTATGGGGGATTCCGTTCACTTGCCCCCCCCCCCAAATATATTTAAGGATAACCAAAAAACAATAATGGCGCAAAGATATCTTTTTACGGCGCATTTCAGCGCATACCTGAGAGTACAATTTCGTATGAAAAGATGTTAAAAAAAAGTAACTTTTAAAAACGTTAAGTTGGCCCCCCACTTTTTGAAAATTTGTCACGGCTTAACCGTAATGGCGCTAGCTTTAATTCAAGTGGCGCAATTGAGCGCATAACCAAATGTATCAGGTGACTTAGTTACAAGGGACAAAATACGTACTGGGGGGGCTACGTTCACTTGCCCCCCCAATGTTTTTTCGGATTTCTAAAAAACGATAATGGCGCAAGAGTTATTATCGGTGGCGCATATGAGCGCATAACGAGCGCATTCATTTCAAAATAATACGACTATGAAATCTCTCAGTGGGGGAGCCAAGTTAACGGACCCCGAATTTAAGCACAGGACATCCCTTATAAAAATTGAAGAGAACACAAACGACAATCGAATAGCGAAATAAAATAGTAAGAGTTCCATTTGAAAAAGAACAGTTATTGCATTGAAATTTGGAAATTTTACCATGTAAACACCCTGTATCACTAAATCCGACTTTCTCATTATCAAAGTGTTGTCCTTTACTCTGATTAACATTTATTATTGATCAAGTGTATTTCTTAACTTCTAAATCAAGGTGGCTATAATTGATCAAAATGGGGCTTGCTTATTATTCTGAAAAAAATTAACAAGATGGCAACGTTGACAAAAAACCAAAAAGTGAATAGGTTTCCTTCCATCTAGAGGTTAACAAATGACATTGAAGCAAGTAAAAATAAACAGGGTGTTTCATTTTCAAAAAATCAATTATTTATTGACACCGTAAAAATGGAACACTGTGCATTCAGAAGTAATGTCTGTAGATGTGCAACTATCTATACTTGTCATCTGAACAAAAGCTTCTTAAAATATTTTTTACCAAGTGTGAGTTGGGAAAGACCCACGCACTGTTACAGGACCCTGTATGTAACCAAATACTATATACAATGCTATTCATTAAGAAGTAGACATAGGGATTTACGGGTATTGTTTTTTCTTATGTCTACTTTTGAAGGGCGCATAATTTTATGCAACGAAAATCTCTTAAAATCTTTTAAAATTCCATGGCATCGCAGATTATTGAAAAAGATGCGGGTTTTATTTTTCCAATTTTCCCTCTTTATTATGCAAAAAATTGAAAACTAATACGGTTGATTGACGTAAAAAAATTTTTACTACAAAAGATTTTTGCTCTAAAATAATTTGGGGAGCCAATAATCGCATGTTATGAATTTTACATTGAAATCCCTATGATGCGTTACGCAAGTCACCACCCTGTATATGATTTTTAAGTTATTTTGACTTTAAGAAAAAAATGGCGGATGCAGACGTTACCTTGATCATTGATTACTTGAAAACGGTTGTAGTTATAGTAACTCATTTTTTACAGTTCATAGAGAAAGAATAAGGCTTTCTTTTAGTGTATTTAAAAAAAAAGTTAAGTTGCGCATGACCGCACCTATGGAGATCCAAGTTTAAGAAATTTCAAAGACTAAAAACTCGGTTTTTTTTAATGGAATGACCATTTTCTTACTATTGCATTAGATAGAAAATCGAAATTGACAATTTTTGATATTACATGTTCGTAGTTTCTGACTTATTTCCATTCTGTTGAATTGATACGATTTTCTTCGGATTTTCTTTATACAGGCTGATTCAAACTCGAAGGCCACCATGGCGATCTCGGGAACTGTAAGAGATAGGTGGGTAGTTTAAATTTGGCAAAGTTGCGTATTTTGATGCTGAATAAAATGCAGTTTTGAAACTGAAAAAATTCCATCTACTTTCAGAGATGACTTTTTCATCTCCAATAGTGGATATTGTTGAAAAGCTGCAACATGTTGTTTCCGTCATGATCTTTGGTCCGATATGTTAGGTTCTAAGGAGGGGGCAATGTAACGATCAAATGAGTTATCAGTGTGACATTAGGAGAATTTTTTAATCTGGTCGTTTTCTAATAAAGTCCTGTTTTATAACGATTCGGCAAAATGCAAAATACCATCCTCATTTTAGCATACATTCCAATATCTCTCAGAAAGGTAAGGGTATTTTTTGCAGTGGCAACATTTTCAATAAGGATTAGTTGTTTTTCGTGGTGTTGGAAGCTCAATGAAAATGAATGTTGCAAGAATTTGGCCAAATTTAATTAAAAAATAGATGGATACGGTTCATCGTTTGGTTTTGGTAAACAATGGTTATTGAAAACGAAGCAACACGCATCATATTAAATGTAAACATCAAATTAGGTCGGCCCATAAAAAAAATGTGAAAACATCCCGTATACGCTTATACATTCGAAAGAAACGAGGAAGAGAGCAGTTACCGATAATGAAGAGGGGAAGGCAGCATTTTTAATTTAAGCAAAAGGTTAGCATGCGACGAAAAGAAAGTAACGTGGATCGATTAAAGGCGGCCATCTCCAGTATAATAATAAATTTACAATTTGGCTTCGAAGCTAAAGGGAAGTTTAGGTGCGTTCTTGCATAGCTTTGTCGATTTAGTACCCCTTGCAATACGTTTCGCAAAATTTCACAATGCGTAAGCAGGAGATATTTCATTAGCGTAGGGAAAGTTTGGAGAAGTTTACAAAGCGTAATCTATTTCTAAAGGTTGCAGTTAATTTTGATCAAAACGGAAATGACTTGGCGGGAAAACAAGCGAGGGGGAGAAGTTGCAAAAAATAAAACGGGACAGATAAGCAATATTTCATTGTCAAGTTTTCCAGTACATTATGCCCGTTGCTCCATAACCGAGCCATACTGCTTTTGTGTCGTGGTTAATTTCCCGTTATGTTCTGAGAGTAATACGAGCTAAATGCAAATAAAATGCCTTCCAAAATCTATCGAAAACCGATATTTCAACGCGACATTTTCATTTACCCGGTTAATATTTATGTTGGCAAAATCCTTACTCTCTCTAAACCGTACGTCATATTCCATTTGAAAAGACCTAACGGAGAGTCGGTTTTTTTACGGCGAAGTTACGACTCACACTTAAGATGGAAAAGCACTTAGCGGAAAACGCCATCATTTTCGATGAACTTAAATAAGAGCTGGCTTACCGTAACTACATACGAAAGTCCATCCCACGTCATTCTGGCTACGGAGTCCTTCCTCTTGACGCTACTGCCGTTCCTGTATTCCGGCATACTGTCGGGTACGTCGCTTGGTCCTGGTAAAACGTCGGGTCGCCAGCCGGATACTCGCCCAGGAATCGGCTGTACGCCGGTAATTTCGGAGACGGCTCTTCGATGGGCCATACCACCCGACGATTGCCGATATTCCGCCTTAAGAGGTCCGTATGCTCTGGAAAAGTAAGTCAGTGTTAACACTAAGTTCAAACTTGTACAATATCAAGTCAAGAAACAAAATATCTAGCAAATTCTTGTTTTCTTTTACTCAATACGTAAACATCTGAAATTTTCAAAAACGGAACTCATTTAGATCCTGCAACCATATGGAATACCGGAATCCAGCATTATTTCACATTTACTTTTCGTTACCTGGATTTATACCGAAGTAAGGAAATTAGGGGAAGGGAAAAAAAAGGAAAAATTCTGGAAGGTTGATGTCAAGTGAGAGTATCGGTATTTCTATTTCATTTTTTTTAAATTTTGTTGTAAAGTTAGAACTTTTGGGACTTTTTAAATTAATTTAAACACTGTGTATCAACCGGCTGTCAAAATTTAGAAGTTCGCAATTACCAGGTGGAAAGTGGTTTTGTTACAATTTAAAAGAAGAAATTCGTTTGCAAGGCAAGGAACGTGCATTTATTTCTGCGTTTTTTATTTTCTATGAGGTTTGTTTCTTAATGGGTTTAGGAAACCTTTCGAGCCGAGATGTCATCGATATTTCGTGGCTAGTTAGTTACTTCTGGCAAGAAATCCTAAGAAGTAAGGCTCGTCAAAATGTTGTTACGTGGGTTAACAAACTCATTAATTTCGGGGCGACCTCCAATAAGATTTCTTTTTGAGAAAACATGGTGGACTTAATTATTACACGTGACAAGCGAATTAGGGAATTAATTAATGGGAATCGCGATATAGCAAGCGAGGCGACCAGTGTAAGTCCATTAAAAAATTTGTAATTGTTTCCCATTTAAGTATTGAACCGTATAAATCGCTTAAAGTTCGAGTCTTGTTTTAAAAAAAACCCAAGCAGGTTTAGTTCCTAAGAAAGATGTTTCGAAAAAATGGGGTTCCGTATTAAACGCGTTGCGTCTGTAATTTGTGATAGCGAATGCAATTTGTTACATACAAATCCATTAATTGTATGAGTATACAGGGTGCGTTCCGAAAGTAATGCAATTATTATAGTACTTGACGTCCTGTCGTTTCCACAGCTCGGAGAGCACTGAGGTCTGTTTTGCGCACCGCCCCACCAGGATCGGCGCGGGAAATTCATTTGCATTACTTTCGGAACGCACGATTGTACGAAAAAAAGAACTTGTCTTAACATTGCGATAAAGATAAAGATAACGAAAATTGTACACAATTATGGTTGCCACCTTTCCAAAATATTTTTGATCACCAGGGGCGTGCTGTATTCCAGTGGCGTAGCAAACTTGAGTCATTTTTTTAATGTAGATTTGGAAAGTACTTGAAAAGTATTTATTAACAAGCTCCTAGCGCGGTGTCTGTCCGCCTGTTCGTTAGCACGATATCTCGATAATGAATCGAGATTTCGCTGAAATTTTGTAGGTGGATTCCTTGTCAAATTTGTAGAAGCTCGTGAATTAGCAATGTATCCGTATCCTTATCCTTGAAGTTAAAAGTTTAATATGTTGTATAAAAAAGAAGTACTTTTCAAGTTCTTGCAAATCTGCATTAAAATGTGGGGTGTTCTATTAAAAAAAAACACACGTTTGATACGCCACTGGAATATACTGAAATTTAACATTTATGAATCTAAAATGTAAAAATGGATTGAATGTAAAAAAGTGAGTCTTGTTTTAAAGAGTTTGGTCAAAGTTTTGAATGTAATCAGTATGCATAACTGGCAGCTATTGAAGTGATTATGAGAGAAGAGTTGGAATTAATCAAGTTTTGCGTGTTTCACAAATCCTCCTTCTTTGAAATTTGACCGGCAGATAGGTTTATCCGAGGGTAACATGAAGAACCCTCTCTAAAAGGCTAAATTATAAATATTATAAACGATCCTTTTATGAAGGCTATTATTATAAATAATGTTTATTTTACATTGGAGTATGTAACGGTAGCTCTAAATTTGCGTTTAAATTTTTTCGTAGATTTAGGTAAAGTTGCAATTTTTGAGATTTCTAAGGGCAGAGCAGTTTAGGAAGGGTGCCAAAATCATGAGTTGGATTTTCTCCGACAATATGGACGATAAGTGAAACGACAAGCAAGATTTGTAAGCCGTGGTGGAAATCAACTAATCGCCTTTATTCTACTTGTTTCAATTCAGTAGAGCTTTGTTATCTTTTAAGAATGACGAAATAATGACACCAGATTCCGAAGAAATGAAGTGAACTTTTAATTAAGATTGTGGAAAATTTAGGGTTTCTTTCCCAATTTTTACCCGAATTTTTGACAGAAAACTGTTAGTAGTTTAAGGTTTCACTAAATTGTTTATTTGTTATTGAACGCTAATGCGGGGTGTGTAAAGCGAACTTATTAATAGTCCGCCTTAATTAGTAGAATTTTGTTATTAGTTTGATTTGTGTGTTAAAATAAACTTTGTGTTAAGTCATATAAATCGTGTGTTTATTCGAACCCTATAACGATCCAGATAGATGTCTCATGCTTAATTATGATTAATTTTGTGGATCCGTACTCAAAGTTTGTTTCAGATGTTTCCAAAATTTTTAAGTACTGTTTTTTGGAATTTAAGGAATTTGTTCGGGGCCGTTATTTTCCATAACATTTGGAATTTGAAGTCGGGATTGGAATTTCTTATTGTGCCGAGATTCAGATGGTCCTGGGAAATTTTTAATACGAGAGTTTAAGGTGTTTTGTGTATGGTTTATTTTGGGCGGGCTATTGCACACATCATTATTATTTGGCGCCCAACGTGGGGTATTGCATTTATTTTTTATGTGCCCTAATTTAGAGGGCCACCGCAATTTATTGCATATAGTTTGTCATTATAGAGCCCATCAGAGTTACACTTAGTAGTTTGTTAAAATCTGGGGAATCATAACATCATATAAATTTTGGCATGAATATATTTGAATTTTGCGGTGTTTGATTTTGCACCGAAGCTATTCGGCCAGGGAGAAGTCTGATCGAAAAAGTACGAATTGTTTTGGATTCTACGCACCAAAATTAATAAGAAAAAGTGTTGTTCCGAAAAATTTTGGTGCAGTCGATTTTTGGTAAAAAAGGAAGGTTATACACTGCCTTTTCTTGAGCCCCGAAAAAAAAATTGTCTCAGATCGATCCGGAAAAAAAAATTTTCTTATAGAATGTGGCCTGTAGAATCCATAATTTCAAACAGTTCCAAGATTGGGCTAGTAGTTCAAAAGTTACAGCCCTTTGAATTTTCTTTCGAAATTGGTTTCTAGTCTATAACTTTTGATTGAGAAGTCTGATCGAAAAAGTACGAATTGTTTTGGATTCTACGCACCAAAATAATAAGAAAAAGTGTTTTCCCGAGAAATTTTGGTGCAGTCGATTTTTGGAAAAAAGGAAGGTTATACACTGCCTTTTTTTGAGCCCCGAAAAAAAAATTGTCTCAGATCGACCCGGAAAAAAATATTTTCTTATAGAATGTGGCCTGTAGAATCCATAATTTGCAAACAGTTCCAAGATTGGGCTACTAGTTCAAAAGTTACAGCCCTTTGAATTTTTTTTCGAAATTGGTTTCTAGTCTATAACTTTTGATTGAGAAGTCTGATCGAAAAAGTACGAATTGATTTGGATTCTACGCACCCAAATTAATAAGAAAAAGTGTTTTCCCGAGAAATTTTGGTGTAGTCGATTTTTTGTAAAAAAGGAAGGTTATACACTGCCTTTTTTTGAGGCCCGCAAAAAAAATTGTCTCAGATCGACCCGGAAAAAAATTTTCTTATAGAATGTGGCCTGTAGAATCCATAATTTCAAACAGTTCCAAGATTGGGCTACTAGTTCAAAAGTTACAGCCCTTTGAATTTTTTTCGAAATTGGTTTCTAGTCTATAACTTTTGATTGAGAAGTCTGATCGAAAAAGTACGAATTGTTTTGGATTCTACGCACCAAAATTAATAAGAAAAAGTGTTTTCCCGAGAAATTTTGGTGCAGTCGATTTTTGGTAAAAAAGGAAGGTTATACACTGCCTTTTTTTGAGCCCCGAAAAAAAAATTGTCTCAGAATCGACCGGAAAAAAAATTTTCTTATAGAATGTGGCCTGTAGAATCCATAATTTCAAACAGTTCCAAGATTGGGCTACTAGTTCAAAAGTTACAGCCCTTTGAATTTTCTTTCGAAATTGGTTTCTAGTCTATAACTTTTGATTGAGAAGTCTAATCGAAAAAGTACGAATTGTTTTTGGATTCTACGCACCAAAATTAATAAGAAAAAGTGTTTTCCCGAGAAATTTTGGTGCAGTCGATTTTTGGTAAAAAAAGGAAGGTTATACACAGCCAGGTATTCGGCAAATGAAATTTTAGAAACTGACTTTTAGATAAATCTAGCGAAAATAAAAATACGGAAGCCAAAGCAACAATATTCAAATTAATTGATATGACAGCCAGATCTTTAATTGCTTTAAAAAGTTATTTTGCTTGCATAAAATTAGGCGCGCTTCAGAAGAGATTTTGTCATTTAAAAGTAGACAGGGAAAAACAATACACGTAAATCTCTATGTCTACTTCTTAATAAATATCACTGTAAAACTAACTGATTAAATTTTGGTCATTTGGACTTGCTGTCCGTCCGTCTGTCGCTCGTCGACTATATTCGTTTGAACAGTTTACGGAAGTTTAATGATGAAAGGAAGATAAAATGCAGCACCAAATTTAGGGGTGAATCGAACCATCCTTCTCTCCAATAAAATTTGAGGATTGTGTGATGAAAAAGGGACGACAAAAATGGAATCTTATCTGAGAAGAACAAACAAAATGGCATATAAATTCCGACATGTTCTTAATAAGTAAAATCTACGGTCCTCAATGATTAGGTAGAGAAGTACCTATTATAAAAAATACAGTATAAAAGTTAAAAACGGTAATGCAGATATAAATATTACACTTTGATTTTCCTATCTTTTTTATTTATTGGTATTCATATAAACGTTTCCCATTCTAAAAAGTAAGAATGGAAAACCGTACAAAGGAAAATTCTCGAATTTATTTCAGCATAAAACGCAAATCGTCTCTTAAGTGGAGAAACAATACGAAATAAAATATATTGAGCAATAAAGATTTTTATCTAACACCAATTTTTACATAACAAAACTTTTCTCCTAAACCCACTTTTAACAAACTCTATTGCTTTTCCTTTTTGTGTGTACAACGTTCTCATTTTTATTACTTCAGAATTTTTGCGAAAACCTTTTTTTCTGTGAAATCTAACCCTAATTTGACAATTGAACGGAGGACTGGTACACTCACAGGTGGAAAGTAAATGCAGAAGTACAATGCTCATCAACTGCTTCGACGCGTATATATCGCGTGGAAAACGCAATTACTTTATAGCCCTTGGCCACTGAACGACGCCATTTTAATTACCTACGGAGCCCGCTCTAGGTTATAACTAATAATGTTATCTATAATAGTGGAGATCTAGAACGATTTATTAACGAATCAACTATAAACTTGAAAAAGACATAAACTTTATTGCAACTAAACTCTACTACAAAGAGAGGCACTATAACATTTTATGCAAAAGGCACTTACATTTTAGAACAAGCAGACCTTAATTTCCGGAAACTGGGTGCCCGCATAATTGCAGAGATTTTTGATAAGTACGCTTAAGTAAGCAAAGTGAACTATTGTTTCAACAAGTCTACTGACCCATGAACAGTGTCCTAGAACTACCGTGGATAAATAGAGTGCCGAAGGTCCGCTTCCAGCATTTCAACTAAGTTGAAGTGAAAGTTTCGCGCACAAACTCTTAATAGAAACATTCGGAAAGGTAGTTATTACAACTAACTTTAAAGGCCCTGACATGCTTGGTAAACAGAACCCTTCCTTGTATAATAATTATTCCTCCTCCAGGTGTTATTTCTCGTTGCCTTCTGAAGAAGTAATAAAACAAGTATAAAAGGGCCATGGATTTGAAATGTCTATACACCTCCTTCAACCAGTCAAGGGAATGGTTGTTCTACGAACATTATCATCTACTGACATTGTTGTAAGAGATACTGCACGCTTGTTTATTTAACATTAAAGGATGCGTATTTTTAAGAAAAATCATCGTAAATTATATTTGCTGAAAGCTAAAATTATCAATAAAAATTTGGTTACGTATGTTCTTAAAGAGATCAATATCTGAGCAAATTAAGGCCGTTTGTATTGCATGTATTTTACAATTTATGAACTTTTCAAATCGCTTCGTTCAAATTTCAAGAAAGAAATTCTCTAAATTAATGGGTCCATTTTGATTATTTAGAAGGTGAATTGTGGGCACATTGGGCGCTATATTATTATTAGGTATGATATTGAGTTATTGGTAGTTAACGATCGGAGATTTTGGAGAAATCTTTTTGTTCCAAAATCTGTAAAATCTGGAGCGAAGCAAGAATTTGCATTTTCACGTTGCCTCCTTTTAAAAACAAGGTAGGCTACCTGCCACCAAGATGTCATGGACTTAAGAAAATTAGATGAACATACCTTGAAGCCAGTCTTTTTCTCCTATCCAACCATCTCAACTGTTGATCGTTTTGCTTACTTTCATCGACGCCGAAAAAATTCGCCGTCTCCTTTTTGACAAAGTTCTTAATGGCCTCCTTCCTCGACGTCGACCTCACGAGCTTCGGCCGGTTCGGCAACCGTTCGCTTTGGCTATAATCAAGTCTATGTTCAGTCTGCGGTAAGGCCCTGTATCTTTCCGGCGGCGAGGCCGGTAGCGACACGGTCCGCGGAACGGTCGCCGATTGTTTTGGAGGCGATGGCGGTTGTGACTGCTGCGGCGTGTGCCGGAGTTCGACATTGTCCTGCTCGACGACATCAGTCTCGGCGGTCGACGGGGGCGTTGGAGATTTCGTGGGCGCCACTTGCGGCGATTGCTGTTGCTGACTTACAGGTTGCTGCGGCGACGGCTGCTGAAGTTGCGGAGGCTGTTGCGTTTGTTGCTGCGGCGGTTGCGGCGTTGGCGTTGATCTCCTACAAGGAATGAGAATTGTTAGAGGATCAATCAACTTCTTAGTCAAATAAAAAAATTCATCTCATTCCGAAAATGGAAATGTAATCGTGTTAGCGTTCCTTAAAGTTCATAAAAATTGAATTCGACAATAATTTTAGAACAGAACAGTTCTTAAATGAAGTGCTTAATTGGAGCGCTTTGGTAATTACTTATGATAACATTTTTTAAAAGAAAATTCTGAGATTTAATTTTCACGCTTTCAGAATAATAAGGATAAGCACTGAAGAAATCTTTTGTTTTACTAAATTTAATAATGGAAGTTCTTAACGGCGTTGCGTAATTCACTTATTTTTTTACTCTGAGAAGTGGAACGTACGTTTGAAATCCGAGGTTTTCTTTTTCGCACTTTTATTAGGTACTAGTAAAATTCGGCTGTAGGGCCATAGACGTTTCAAAATATAGAGAAGCTGGTGACTACTATAAGACGCTTATGATGAGATGTGATTGATATCGAATCTCAAATATAGGCTTGGAATGCTCGAACGAGGGTCAAAATTACCGATCCCCGAGAAGGGCCGCGCTGACCTAAACTCTTCAGTTTAGAATCTATGTGCCGTATGAGTTGCGATTCACTAATATCCGCATATTCGATTTGTTAACGTAGCCATGTTCCTTTAACAAAAGGTAACCAAAGATAATACCACACGTACAGCTACCTTGTTTTGTTACCCAGTATCCCAACCAGTTCTTTGTTTAAAAACTTGCCTTGAACCTGTTTTGATATATATTTTGTGAATGTTATTTATATTTATCATGCTTTTTACCAACTTTCGAAGCTATCCAGTAATAAAATCAATTCATTTTTGTACGTTTGGAGAAAAACGCAATAATTTCGGGTTTATTTTGCTAACATGTATATAAATAGGCAGTAAACAGAAATGTTTGATGTTTGATATCAACAGAAAGAAATTAATTAACGCTCAACGAATCATTTTCTCCATAAGAATTACCTACTGAATATACGTTTTATTAAAGGCAATATATATCTGAGTTTAATTAAAACGAATTTTAGTAAGAAATCGCCGAAGTGAAAATTTACGATAACGAAATGAGAACGATTTTGAATGAACTTGACTAGAAACTTCATCATTTCCACAACTCATCTTAAAATACTAATAAATCTTGAGCTGTATAATTAGGGTCAATGTAAAAGCGCCATAGGAGACTTTTCTTCTTTTATTTTCTCGTTTGCTAATTGCAGCGAACGATTTATGCATTAAATTCGTCTTAGGCAACACTGTAAAGTAAAAAATAATATTTTTGTTTAAATCTTCCTGCGATTGTGCATCATTTTGATACTATCAATAATTAAAACTTTAATAATGTGTTGGGGGAAGAAAGTGGTAGAGATAACTATATTATAAACTAAAATTTAAAATTTATTAAGTAAATTTGGGGGATTATTTACGAAATTAATAGAAAATCAGTTCGTTTTATTTGAATTTGTATTTCAGTGTTTGTTTTTCCTTTTAGAATTTTTTGTAATTGCGTAGTTTTCGATTGAATTTATTTCCCGTTTAGATACGATGTTTTAATTAAGACAAATCTGGTTAAGTGTGCGTACCTTTTATAAAGGTTTTTATTTATTCTTAGGAGCAACAGTTAATTAATTTGAAAGAAATGAACATTTGGTGAAGATAAAAGATATAGTGGTACGATTAATTGCGCGTGTCATGTGAAGATGGGGGGACGTTCGGCGCGTTTCATCGTGGCTGGGTCGATTTGAAAATTCAGGAGAAAGGAGCTTGTTTTATGGTAGAAGTGATAAATACTGGAATCAACGTAAAGACGAGGCCGATGGTTTCATGACGGTTGAAGAGCGTGTACATCTTTTTCGGTCAGTCGGCCCTACTTGTGTAGTTCAAGACGCAGTTCGTCATTTTTATAATAAATGTGTGCAGAAACAAGTTAACCAAAGTGGTGTTGTCCGATTACGGAAAAAGTCTGGTCGAGTTGAAAAAGCAAGCAGTGGTAGTACAGCGAGACGTTTTGCTAAGGTTCTTTCCTTATTAAAGGTTTCTACCGTCTGAACAGCCACCGAGAATTTGTCTAGCCAGTTTTGTTATAAATAATTTTTATGTGAGTTAAGTGCGACTAGATTATTTGGGTTATTTAATTTAAATTTAAATTTTTGAATTTTAAATGTTGACTGCCTGCGTGACGGACCGATGGACAGAAAGTCCAAAATCGGGGTCGCTCGTTAATAAAGGTGTTCGAAATCGCGAAAGGTTAGGGGAGATAGTGGGATAAGCGATTTATTCGAAGAGTTCGACGGGGTGTGAGGATAGGCAACACACTATGCGAGATCCATTACTGTTAGTAAGTTGGGGGAATTTCACACGGAAGTGACTGAGGGGGGCGCCTCCGAGCTGCCGAGGCTGGCAAGCCCCTAACGCAGTCGGGGATCAGTGTAGGGGGTAAAACGAGAAAATACGCACAAAAGGAAGAGTAATTCGGAGCATTTAAAAAGAATAATGAAGATAAGATCACCGGAACAAAGGAAAGGGGGGCGAAAAAGAAGAGAATGGCAGAATAAGGAAAAAAAGAACTGATGAAAGGACAGCAAAATTAGATGAAGAAAATGAGAGAAAGGGAGGAGAAGATAAGGAACAATATGACATTATAAGTAGTAAAGAAGGAAAATGAAACGGAGGCTAAAAGAAACCTCCAATTAGAGATAAAAGTAAACGCAGTACGGTCTTAGTAGGATAGGGTAGTAGTCGCGGAGAAACGAACAACAGAAGAAAGGAGCAAAATTAAATAAAAATGGAGATGAGTAACATGAAACTGATGTTCTGGAATATCGCGGGGGTAACAAGTAAATATGACCAATTCTTGGAGCTTATAAGAGGATACGATGCCGTGAGGATGGTGGAATCGTGGATAAAAGAAAAGAACTGGGAGAAAATAACACAGGATAACAAGGGGGGGGGGAGAGAAAATTCCAGCGCTATTTCGCCCTAAACACCAACAATAATGTCGGTACAACTGATATGTAAGAATATCTAAAATTTATTAAGTAAATCTGGGGAATTATTTACGACATAAATTCATTTGAATTTGTATTTCAGTGTTGTTTTCCCTTTTAGAATTGTTTGTAATTGCATAGTTTTCGGTTCAATTTATTGCGTTTTTAAATGGTTCAATTTAGATATCAGGTTTATCTGGTCAAGTTTGCGTACTTTATAAAAGGTTTTTATGTATTCGTTGGGAGTTAGTTTCAAATAAATGGATATCTGGTGCTGATAAGGTGTTACGAATAATTTCGCATGTCACGTGAAGAGGAAGGGACGTTCGGCGCGTTTCGTCGTGGATGGCGTTTAGCTGAATGTGATTGGCGATTGATTTAAAAATTTAGGAGGAAGGAGTTTGTTTTATGGTGGAAGTGGTAAATATTGGATCAACGTAAAAACGAGGCTGCTGGTTTATCGACGGATGAAGAGCGTGTAAATCTAATTTTCGGGCAGTTTGTTTAGTTCAAGACGCAGTTTGTCATTTTTATAATAAATTTGTGTAAAAGTAAGTTAAGCAAAGTGGCGTAAGAAGTTTCACGCGTGTTGTCCAATTACGGAAAACGTCTCGTCCAGTTTCTACCGTCCGCACAGCCACTGAGAATTTATCATCTTATTCTACAAGTTAGTTTTGTTTGTCATCTTGTGTTATAACACCTAAGGAAATTCCCATCCCTCCCACAGATGAAACATTCTCACCTCAGCCCAGGTTCGAACACCCGACCTTCCGGCTATGTAACCCAATGCTCTGCCACTAAAACACATAAATAAATAAACAATTGCTTGTTTTCTAGGAATGAATTCAAAGAAGGTAGGTAGGTTTATGTATCCAAGTGGGAGTAATAAAAACAGAGAAGGATTTTTGGAAGATGATAACTGATTATACACTCACATTTTATTTACACGGCGCTTCCCCCTCGATCTTTCGTCCTTAATTTTATAATCTAATAAACGACTTGACTAGTCTAAGCACCAAAAACTTCATACGCGTTTTTTTCCAATAAAATACTACAACAAAGTAATAGCAACGTTTTTAATGATGTAGGCTTGTCAGTAAAAGTAAAAAAGTAACCTTTTACAAACTGTCTAAATAATGCTATATAAAAATGAGAGAAACTATCAATGCAATTATTGATTTGACTTAGTTTAAATCATTCTTGTGGATACAATCTTCCATTTAGTCAGCCCGAGAGATCAAATTGATCATCTATAAAGAAATATTGGTATTGTAGAAAACAATACTCATATTTTAGCAATTTTGGGAGCTGACTAAACTCCCACATACTATAACCAATCTATTTTTTTAAATACTTCGTTACTTATTTTCCACATTTTTTAAGTTAGGAAAACTTGGTCAGTAACAGTGTTATTCATTAAGAAGTAGACATAGGGGAGTATGAGAATTTTTTTACTATGTCTACTTTTAACTGACAAAATCTCTTCTGACGGGCGCCTAATTTTATGCAGCCAAAATAACTTTTTAAAGCAAATGAATATCTGGCTGTCACATTAATTACGTTGAATATTGTGGCTTTCGGTTTCGTTTTTATTTCCGTTGATATTGCTAATTGGTATAGTGCCGGTAACAGTTTAAGGAGCATAAAAGATTTATTTTCTGGTAATCTAAAACAATATTAATAAGACAGGTATTAATTTAATTTTAATTTTATCCCTCTCTTGTTTTGGGCCCTCAACAGGCATGCGCCCAATTACAGAGTGACCCGCATAATGCTATTTAGAGGTGTCTCTGCAGAAGGTCTTAAGTTGGTCTATACTACTCCGGTATTTACCTTACGAATTAGGAAAACTGCAGGAAAACCTAATTCGGAGTAGCCGGTAGAATGCTCGGAACTGGTCTAAGGTAATTTCCATCTCCGCCACAGATGAAAAATTCACCTCAACCCAGGTTCGAACACCCGACCTCCGGATTTATAACCCAATGCTCTACC